AGACACAATGCAGGGGTGGCTGATCATCCAGTTTCTGCTTGTCATCTGCCTTGGCTCAGCTCAGCTCAGCTGCTCAGGCAGATGAAGGCCGAAGAGAAGGAAAGGGACCAGTGAGGCCCGGATTTGCATTAACGTGCAGCAAATGACTCATAGGTCAAAACCAGATTTTTCAAGCCTTGCTTTGGCTGAAAAAGTCCTAATTTCCCTGTGCCTCACATCCTGCTCTGTTCTCATGGAAAATGACATCAAAAGAAATGTACATTGATTAATTTCCCTGGCTTACTCTTTTCCTTTATTCTTCTGGTTCTCAGAAGTTTCTCTTTTTCCCTCACATAAGCCTGCAGTTAATTTAGCATTTGAAATGTGAGTTTCTAAAACAAACTCCCATGAAGGCTGCATAGCCATGTTTGGTTTTGCTGTTCTCTAGAAATCCCCTTCTGGTTTTTGTTAATATTTAGAACAAAAAAGACAGATGGGGACGGGGGAAGGGATTTTCCAATGTGTTTCCAAAGCAGCCACTTCTAGACAAACATCAAGGCAAAATATTCTAATATTGCAGCAACAGCTTTCCAGGCACCAAAAACAAGTCACAATAACTTTAGGAAAAATTGCTGACAATATGATCATTGCCTTTCCCTCCTAGAGAAATCAGGATTTTCCAAGTTGTCTAAAAGACTATGAGCTTTTCTGTGCCTTTAGAGATCGCCGAATTTCAGTCCTCATGACATGTCAGTATTTCCGGAGGAGAGCAAGGCCACAGGACTTTATGTGTCAAGCTTATGATCAACAAGAAAGCACCTATTGCCTATGTGATAACTGTTTTGTATTATGTGCCTGGACTACAGTACGCTCACCTACTCATTCATTCATTCACTCCATGTGTATAATTAACAATGAACATGACAGGCAAGACTTCTGTTCTAATAGATTTTACAGGCTGGTGTGAGAGGTGATGGGGGAGTATAGGCAGACATTGAATAAGTGCCTACAAGTGCTGTTAGTTTTACAGAGAAATGAAGTGAAAGTCACCCAGCCGTGTCTGACTCTTCGCGACCCCATGGACTCTACAGTCCATGGAATTCTCCAGGCCAGAATTCTGGAGTGGGTAGCCTTTCCCTTCTCCAGGGGATCTTCCCAACCCAGGGATCAAACCCAGGTCTCCCGCACTGCAGGCGGATTCTTTACTAGCTGAGCCACCAGGCAAGCCCCTTTACAGAGAAGAGGGTGGTGCTATTTACTAGCAACAGCTAATAGATCGCTAAATAGCTGTCTATTTATTAGAACTATCTAGCCTGGGAGGGTGTGGAAGATTGCTGCAAAGATGGCCACCAGCTTTTCCTTCCAACCTTCTCAGCGCTTGTCGCTTCAGGAAATGGAGCCCATTTCCCCTCCACCTTGATCTGAGCTGGCCCTGTGGCTTGCTCTGATCAGTAGAAAGAGGCAGGAGGGACACACATGACTTCCAAGCATGCTCCTCGGGGTGCCTGGCACCTTCCACTTTCCCTTTTACTGCACATGTGATAACTGCTTTGTGTCGTGTGTCTGGACTCCTCTTAGAAACCATCCACCACATGAAGTAGTCCAGCCAGAGACATTTCCTGGGGAGAGAGTGAGTCCCAGCGGGCATGCCAGTCGAGGTGCCTGACGTGTGAGTGAAGCCACCGGGGCCCCCCCCACCCTCAGCCTAGCTAGTCCAGGCCGCGTGAAGCAGAAGTGAGCTGTTCCCCCATGACGCCCATCTCCACAGACTCATGAGCAAATGCATGGTGGTGGTTTCAGGCCCCTCATTTTTGAGGGGGCTTTTTCTGCACAAAAGATGACTGAAACAGAGGGCCAAGGGGGTTTCTGGTGGGAGTTCTGTTGTAGCTAAGACCTGAATAGTGGGCACTGGCTTCCCCAGTGCTCAGCAGTAAAGACTCTGCCTGCAGTGCAGCAGACGAAGGAAATGTGGGTTCGATCCCTGGGTTGGGAAGATCCCCTGGAGGAGGGCATGGCAGCCCACTCCAGGATTCCTGCCTGGAGAATCCTATGGACAGAGGAGCCTGGTGGGCTACAGTCCATAGGGTCTCAGAGAGTCGGACACTACTGAGCGACTTTGCAGGAGCACAAAGAGTGGGTAGAAGGGGCTGATGCTCCAGGAAGATGGAACAATGCATAAAGACCCCAAGGCTGGAGAATCATGGCACTGTCAAGAACTGGAAGAAGCCCAGTGTAGCCAGCATGCAGGGAACATGGGGGAGAGTAGTTAGTGTGGAGGCTGGAGGGCAGACACGGGCCAGACAGTACGAGGCTTGTGAGAAGAGACCACACATGATCCTTGCTTCATTCCAGATAGTTAGCAGAGCAAATACAAAAGTTAAGTACTCTGCCCAGAGGGGAAAACTCCAATCCATGGACCTTGCTAGCTTTATCACAGACAGAGCTGATTACAAGTAAGGTCTGAAGAGAAAGAGAAGATTTACTTATCCAAGAAATATCTGGTGAACACCAGTCATCTTCATTGTGGAAGAAAGAACTCATGTACATGCCTGCCAAACATAGTCAGTGACATGCACATAAACAAGTCAGCCTTACACACACCCACACATGTGCACACACACATAGATACACCCTCCAAAATCCAGAGGGGTTTTCATGGCTGGCAAGCCTGTGTCACCTCAGAAAAGTCACTTAATTTCATTGAGCTTTATTTTAATCTTGGAATAACAACACTTCTTCCATAGATTATTGGGAGTCTCAAGCAAGAAAAATGCATATAAAATACCTAATAAAATATATGAGAGGTGCTAAAAATATGATAGCAAATTAAGAGAAAATATTGCGTGAAGACAGTTCTAAGCAAGACAAGGCATATCTAGTGACACAGCGGAAGTGGAATTCAACACTTAAAACAACAGCAAAGTGCCTTTCTTTTGCCTTCTTTATCATATTTGTCAGAAAATCTTTTTATGTCAGTGGATGTAGACCACCATGAGAAAAAATTACAGTCTGCATTCCCACTCTCGATGACATGATAAGAAATCAATACCATATACTTGATGTTTATCATCTACCAGGCACTTTGCATACATGAAGTCATTTTACTTCCCCAGCAATCTCCAGTGAAAGGTATTACTCTCCCATTTTGCAGATGTGGAAATTGAGGGACAGAGGCATGACTGTCTTCCCTGACGCTAGGTCCCACAACCAGACTGTGCCAGACTTTGAACTCACACCCCGTGTGCCCGACTCCAAAGCCTGTGCTCTCTGCTGCAGGCCAAGTCCCCTCGTTTGGGGGCATACCTGTGTTTAGGTATGTGGTTTAGGTAGTGTGGTTTCTGAAGGGAATCGTTCCAGTTTAAAAGTTATGGGATCTCACCAGGGGCCTGCAGTGTCTCTTTAATGACCACCCTAAGTCAGTGGCTTTTTTTTTTTTTTTGGTAAAGCAACTGATACATCAAAGGACATGAACCCAAGGGAAGCAGATCATTTCTTGGGAAGGGGATCATTCTTGGGCACAATTAATCAGTATGGTTAGTTTATCACTGGAGATTGTGCTTGAGAGAAAAACTAAGATGAGATCTTCCAGTAATCACCACCATCTCACTGTCCACTTATTTTTAACATTACTAGTCTATTTTAAAGTCTTTCAAATTGCCTAAGGATCAATGCAGATGATCTCGAAGGGCCATGTCAGTTCCATAATTCGATTATCTCACAAGCTCTGCCATACTGGATTGCTTAGGAAAGGTGGAGATGCCCACGCACAGAACTCTGACAGCTCTCATCTTGAGTTCGGGCTCATGCATCTCTAAGAATGGAGAGTCTTTAAGACAGTTCAGGCTAAACAACTTCTTCCAAGGAACGAGAGGAATAAACATGCATTAAACTTTGTTTTGTGCCAAGGAATAGACAAAGAATTTTCCCCTATCAGGGCTAAATTTGACCTTAAATTCAGTTTAAGAAAAATTCCATCTTCATCATTGGTATTTTGTTTTTAGTGGAAAAATAGAAGCTGAGGTGGATAGATAGTCATTCATCTGTTTGTCAAAATACTTGAGTAGCTTGAGACGTGACATGCAGACAAAGCTTGGGAGAATTACAGAAAAGAGCTAGGTAAATAGCAAAGAGAACATTTTAGTGCTACAGCGAGATCTCCCAGACACACCTCAGAAAAGAAAGGAATATACAGCCATGCTGAGGGCGGAGGACAGTGTAAATGGGCTTTGTAGGGGCACCAAAAAGGTGGGTAAAGCCAGGAGATAAGACGACAGCCAGGAAAGATGACCAAAGTAATAGGTGTGATAATGACTACAGCTTTCCTGCCAGGAGCCTGAACCACGAACATCAGTCCACCTCTGCGGTATGCATAGGAAATAATGACATCGTTTGCAGCAACATGGATGCAAGTAGAGATGATCACACTAAGGAAAGTAACTCAGAAAGAGAAAGACAAATACTATATAATATCGTTTACATGTGGAACCTAAACTATGACACAAATGAACACATCTACAGAACAGAAACAGACTCGAAGCCGTAGAGAACAGACTTGTGGTTCCAAGGGGTGGAGGGTGGGGATGGAGTATTGGGAGTTTGGGATGAGCAGACACAAACCATTATATAGAGGATGGCTAAATAACAAGATCCTATTGCACAGCATAAAGGATCTATTCAATATCCTGTGAAAAATCATAAAGGAAAAGGAGATGAAAAAAGAATATACATGTGTAACTGAGTAACTGCTTTACAGCAGAAATTAACACAACAGTGCAAATCAACCACACAACAAAATTTTTTAAAAAAAAGAAAGAATGGCAGAGACAATTTCCTTCCTGAATACTAGGAACCAACACAAAATTACCGTCCGGCAGTGCAAGTGTTAGTCACACAAAGCTTAATCCTACGATCAACACTGAAGTCAAAAGCTGAAGGAAATTAGAAGAAGGAATCAATCAGAGCCCCTGGGACGCTGAGAGAGCTCCGGAGAGGCGACGACAGTTGCCGGGAACAGTCAACAGATGGAGCTGGGGGGCTGCAAACCCCGTGGATTTCAGCGGGGAGCGGGCGTGTGCGCAGAGGGCTCGGCTCCCCGCGGCGGCAATCGCACTTCATCAGACGCACACGCCCCCGCCTCCCGTCCTGCTAACGCGGCCGGAGGACCGCGGTCGGAGCCCACGTGGAGCGTGGGCAGCTGGCAGCTCGGGGCTGTGCGTGGCTCCTACGTGGGCACTGACGCAGCCCCAGGACAAAGCGGCCCCCCAGCTACCTTCAGCCCAGAGGATGTGTCTCATAGAGGCCCAGAGCTGCATGCAGCTCACGGGGAACCGGCTTTGGACATAGCGTGTCTCTGTCTCTTTCGTTTTATTTCACTTATTTACTTGTGTTCCTCTCACTTAGGAACGATCTTGTCTGTCCGGAACCGGCGTTTTCTCAAAGAAAATACCTCTGTCCGAAAATGGAAAGAAAAATCGGCTAGAAATGTCCCCACCGTGGTGCCTGACATAACCAGCGTGAACTGGGGCCCCAGAGGCCGACCTAAAATCTGGGCGCAGGCTCCGGTGGGAGACGAGGACAGCCGCTCTGAGCTCCTGAGCCGTTCCCGGGCGGCGCAGGGTTACGCTCCGTGAAGCTGGGGGCCCACTCTGGCTGATCTGACTTATGGGTTCAGCTGCTCTGGCCCTGACATTGTGCCCGGCACACAGTATGTGCTCAGTATCTGCCTCTGGACCGCATTAATCCAGTAAATGAAGCTTTCAGCATACAGATCTATACTTAAATTCTGACTCTTAAATCCTGTCGGGAACAGTGTCCCGGGCAAGATATTTGACCTCCTCTTGGCTATTATATAGTTCTTAAAAAATAATGCTCTGTATTTGTCACTATTTATATTCACAGTGTCTGAAAAAAGATGGGTGCTGGATAAATCTTTTGTGGAAATGAGACTCTGCACCTCAGTTTACTCATCTGTAGAAGTACCATGATATCTACCCAGAAGAATTAACTCTTATGAAGATTAAATGAGGTGATGTATTTAAAGTTCCTGGCACATAAGAAGTGCTGAGTAGATATATGGTGACAATAGTTTCTGTTGGCAAACATCTCCACTGCCCTCTGTTACCTTATTCCAGGTAACTCTCAAATGTGACTCTGTCTGCATTCTTCCTGTCTTCTCCTACACACCCTCAAACATCTCCATTTGCACTTAGAGCCATTCACGGGATGTCCCAACAGGGACACCCTGACCGGCGATCATTATCCACCTCCTCACAAAGATGCAGAACTGCCACTAGCAGCCCGAGACAGAGCAGCAGCCCAGGGGTGGGCCGGGAGAAAGCAGCTGGCTTCCTGAGGGTCAGGCCCAGTCTCAACCATCTCTTTAGCCCAGATGGGGCCCAGAGGGAGAGCGCTGATGTCTAGGCTCAACCTCTGGAAAGAGCCACAGTGCAAAGTCTCAGGGGCCTCCCAAAGCTGATCCTGGCCACAGCCTCCTTGGATTTTACTTTGGGAAAGATGCTAATGGGGGTTTTCCACCTCAGAATTGGAAATCATATACTCATATCTATAGAGGATATATGATTCTAGAAGCTTCATGGAAGTTCAAAACCTCAGGACCATCTAGAAGCTTCCAAAAGGCAGACATCTGCAACTGTAGATGAGAGAAGACCATATTTCCCCCCCAAGGTGCTTAAAGGCAGCTTGACTTGGAGACTTCTTGAACAGCCGGTCAATTCTGTGTTTCTGTAAGATGATGGCACAGAGAAAACCCAATAGCAACATGACTCCTTGAAGATTGTTCCTCTGTTTGGATGGGATTGGATGAAAAGCATCTTTTAGGAAAGAGATAATGCGGATGACCCTGCATTTGTATAATGCTTTGATCGTTCTTACAAGTTTTATATTTGTGTTGCCTACAACTTTGTCAATCAAGTGGACCAGGCACTTTAAACCCTGCATTACACATGGAAAAACTGATATTTAGAAGGTCCAGCTGATTTTCCAGACTTGCATTTAGTTAATAGGCAGACTTGAAATTTATTTTCATCTACAATGCTTGTGAATGAACTATACAGCCTCCCAGCTCCCAGCTGTACTTGGAAGAAGGTAACTATCAGGATGATGTCTGTCCCCTCCCCCCATGACAGAAACACATGGATTGCTGTGGTTCAGACCTTTTTCTTATAATGAAATGTCTTTTCCAAGTGTTTTTAGTAAGACTCAGAAAGTACAACTTATATAAGTTATATTTGAATCTCTTCCCTTTCAACTTCTAATAATTAGTTTAAAATATATGACCACTGTTTGCCATGAATTTGTCTTCTGAAATTTATATGAGAAATGTCACCTTAAGAAAATAATTTTCTCTTAAAAAAATTCTGAAAAGTTGTCCCCTGTAATTTGAGACAATTTGGCCCAAGAATGAGTTTTGGGATGGATGAGGGGCATTTCCTTTCCTAAAATACATTTGTTAAAATTCATACACATTTACTTACTTGTCAGTTTTGATGTACACATGATGAATTTAGCTTTGACTGACTTGATTGTTTGATTGGTTTATTGGCTGGGTAATTTGCAAAGTGAGGTTATAATCACATACTTCTATTTAGAAATAATGTCTCTCAGTCTCAGCTTCTTCACTCTTGTTTCTTAAGCACTTTATAAAAAGATTTATTTATTTATTTTTGGCTGCTCTGGGTCTTCATGGCTCCACGCGAGCTTTCTTCAGTTGCAAAACTGGCAATAGCACAGTCTCTTCTGTTGGAACAAGAGTATTTGAGAGGCAGCAGTGGATATCTGGAAGGTTTATGGGCTTTGGAATTAGACCTAACTTTGACACTGAACTTGATTCATTCATTCGAAAAATCATCCTATCCTGTATGCCCAGCATTGCTATCTATGTAGGCATAAATGATGATGAACAGAACTCATGGGTCCTACCCTTGTGAAACCTATAGTCTAGTAACTTGACTCACTGTGTGTCTCTATGCAAGTTATAGTACTTCCCTGAAAAAGTGAAAGCGTTAGTCGTTCAGTCGAGTTTGACTCTTTGCGACCCCACGAACTGTAGCCCACCAGGCAGTACCTCCCTGAACTCCATTTAAACTGTATATCATGTAGTAATGGATACTAAAAAACTAAAATAAGGAAAGATGTTTTCTTCACAAGACTGTGGTGAAAAGTTATTTAAATAGCATGAAGCATCCAGTTCACGGCTGGTAGTTAAGCAAATCGGCTTCCCTGGTGGCGCCATCGTAAAGAATCCACCTGCCAATCCTGGGGATGTGGGTTCGATCCTTAGGTCAGGAAGACCCCCTGGAGCAGGAAAAGGCAACCCACTCTAGTATTCTTGCCTGGGAAATCCCATGGACAGAGGAGCCTGGTGGGTTATAGTCGACAGCGTCGCAAAGAGTCAGCGTGACCTAGCAACTAACAACTGTCAGGTAAATGTCCCTGTTTGCCCTGCTTAATTAGTTAAGTCAAGCCCAGCAGCAGAGGGCAGCAGAGTCACTTCTGACCTTTGCAGTCTCAATTAAACCCTTGCAACGTGGTCTTACCCTTACCAGGCTGCTCACTCAGATCTCCCTTGTAACGTGGCCATCTGGCATTTCTTTTTCTTTTTTTTAAAAAATTTTATTGAAGGAGAGTTTATTTGCAATGTTATATTAATTTCTGTAGAGAAGGCAATGGCAACCCATGCCAGCACTCTTGCCTGGAAAATCCCATGGACAGAGGAGCCTGGTGGGCTGCAGTCCACGGGGTTTCGAAGAGTCAGACACGACTGAGCGACTTCACTTTCATGTTTTTTATGTTTGCCTTCTTATATTGTTTTCTTAAATTTTAAATTATATGCCTCTTCATATTGTTTATTTGGATTGCCAACTTCTAGAAGACAGAGTCTAGATGTTTTAAATAAATTTTAAGAGGAAAAGCAACTGTTATGGAAGTGGATGCCCTCTGGGGGCCTCTCCCATTTCTTCTCAGGGTGGAGGGTGTAGTGGGGAGGCGTAGGGATTGAAAGGGGGACCAGAATCAGGGCAGTAGGAGGAGGCTCCTGCCTTTCTTCTTTCTCTTTTTTCTAGTGCACAGGATGCTGAATTTAAAATATATATACCAACGTGGAGAAGTTTCCTCATAAGGAGAGCATTGTGTAGTGGATCAAGTGGATCAAGTGCAGTCAGAATGCCTGGATTTAAATTCCGACAGCATCACTTACTAGCTGAGGGGCCTTGGGCAACTGACGTATCCTCTCCAGGTTTCAATTTTTTCATCTGTTCAATGGGCTGATAATACCAGCTACCTCATGTGGTTAATTAAAGATTAAGGATGGAAGGTACTCAGAGAAGGCCTGGCCTGAAGGAAGCGCTCAGTACTTCTCAGCTGTTTTTCCTGTTACTGTTCATAAGCAAGAGGGTGCCTATATTTGTACTTTCTCATGTTTTAAGGTTCTTTGTTCCAAAAGATTTGAAATTGCAATAACAAACTTTGATGCACATTTTCCATGTATTCTTCTACAGACTTCATTTTGATGGTTCACAGAAATGTAATTAGCAACATGCAAATATTTTGGTTAGGGCTAAAAGCCACCTTCAACATTTAGCGTAAAAAACAAAATGCTTAAAAATCATAACGTTTTGAAAGCTAAATGTGAGAGCTCTGTGGGTAAATCCCCTAACAAGTGAGAGATTTTGAATAAACAGTAATTATGTAGCAAAAATCTAAGTAACAGCTGCAGGGAATGTTGAAACAAACAGAGCCTGGAGGTTTGTGTACATGAAGGATATAACCTGGTGGAATAACTTATTATCTGGAACAAGAGAATCTCTATGTATACTAACTCTGTGTATAACATCTGTATAGGAAATTTTAGGAATGAAAATACTTCCATGTCGCCTTGGAACATTTATTGCTAAAATGTTTACTTTTCAAAAGTAGTGTGATGTTAGCCAACTGTGGACTTCTGGTATAATGTATAGTGATGGTTAAACATATGTATAATTATTTAATATTGTCAAAGTTTGCTAGCCTGAATATAGCAGTGATTTTCCATTTTCTCATTGTTTTCATTGAACAGAATTTTTTGAAAGTCAGCACTTTAAGTAAATGATGAGAGAACAAAGAAGAGAGAATGAAGAGAGACAGAAGGAGAGTAGCCTGTTGAGTAAGAGATGAAAAACTGTAGAGTTGAGCACCAATAAATATAAAAATTAAGTAAAAATCTTGCATATGCCTATACTGTGAATTTTTCCTAATTAAAAATAACCCATGAAGGCATCAAGATGACCTGTGACCAGAGACTGAATCATCTTTGCATGACATCAACATGACCCCCTCGTGCAGATCCTCTGGAAACAGAGTGGAACCCCCATTCCAGATCCGAGAGGACAAGCTGAGGACCTTTTTCCATCCGTGTGCATGAGGAGATCTTGATATGGGCAGAGATGATACAACCTTCTTTCCTACATAGTTCTTTCTGGTTATTCCTACTCCGAGAACTGAGAAGTTCACAATATGTCCCATTTTTAACTGCTGTTTATAGAAACACACTTGTCAGAGTCCATCAAAGCCATGGACGGTGTAAAAAATGGAGAAAGTTTCCAATGGGGGAGAGTCATGGAAATCCCCCAAATGA